TTCCTGCTGGCTCGAATGTGCTCCACACGCCAGCTAGAGACCTTGCTTTTGGTCTGAAGGGTGGACACTTTTTGCTTCAGTTCCCCAACTATCAGCCTGGGCACTGCCCTATGAGGCCTTGACAGCTGGGTGGGCCTGATATCTGGTTGAGGACAGTGGGCCTGATATCTGGTTGAGGACAGTGACTGAGACCCCGCTCAGTAGCTGGCAGCGCACAGAGAAGCCAGTCAGGCGTGGGGCTGGCCCTGGAGAGGTGCCTCATCTGCCGTGGCTGATACCATGGTTCCGGCCCCAGAACTCTGGGATTAGTCTCCCCTCACAGGATCAGAATTGCCTCCCCACAGAAAAGGGACAGGCATTGAAATCCAGGCAAACTCCCACGAATGCCCTCGGTTCTAACATCAGGAGGCAAAAATCACAGCCGGCAAGGAGCAAATACACTACTACTAGACCAGCCAGGAAGTCCTATGGGCTCCCACTTCTACAGAAAAGTTCTCCCCCAGATGATGAACTCTGTGGGGCTAATCCTCCCATTGGGGAGGTGAGGTCAGGCCTTCACTCCAGAGTCCCCACCCTCCATACCTTGAATTGGGCAATGGCCCACAGCTGTCCCCAGACTTCTGCTTTCTCTTCCTCTGCGGAAAGTCCAAAGGAGAAAAAAGGAAGTAAGAACTCATGGTCTAGAAAGCAAGAGTTTAGAGTAGGTCCTCACTTAACATCGTCGACAGGTTTTGGAACTGTGGTGAAATGATGTATAATAAAACCAATTTCACCACAGGCTAATTGATATATACAAGACTTAAATTCCTTAAGCTTATCAGTGAACAAAACATTATTCAAGGATCTGCTATTGAGATTTCCACATGCACTTGATGAACACAGATACTGACTCTGGTTTCAGGCATGGAGAATGCACAGGCCCCTGAGCAGCTCCTCTCAAATGCCTGGCAGGTGGGCACGAGGATTAGCGGACAAGCGCACAAAGTCACAGACTGTCCCTGCTTTCAGCAAATGTGCAGGAAGCATGGGTCCAGTTCTCGAGGAGTCTCACCATCCCATGGACTCATACCAAGAAGATGGTGCTGTGGCTTCCTGCAGTTGATGTCCCTCAATCTGAACCAGTTAACAAGGAGGAGGCCCCTAATTGCCGAGAACTCCCGAGGAGATAAAACACTTGATTCCTTACCTTTAATCCTAGTGGCAGACTGATAGGGTGGCAGCCTGGGCTCTAATTCTTATGAAGAGAGGTTGAGCAGATCATTTAACATTTGTAGGACTTAGTCTTATCTGGAATAAAGGAATGACAATAAGAATATAATTTACTGAAAGGCAGCTATGGGCAGACAGCACACTGAAACATTACACACATGATCCTATTTTCTCCTCTTGACAACCCTGTGAGGGGTTATCAACCCCATCTGACAGATGAGGAAAATAAGGCTCAGAAAGATTAAGTGGCTAGAATCAGAACCCAGTAAGTGGGCAGGGAGTGTTAAACCCTTATCTGTTTGGCCTCATGGCTCATGTTTTTTCCTTGACCACAGGTCATCAGAAGGTCAAGTGAGAAAATGTATGTAAGAACATTGCAGGAGTAAAGTATTACACATTTCTTAGTATTGTCACAGCATTTCATCCCAACTAACAAAAACCTGAAGAATATGGCCCCCGTGCCTCCCCAGTGGCCCTGATTCCATGCCATGCCAGCTCTCTCCACGCCAGGTGTCCACCTAACCAGAAACAGACAGAGCTCTCATGAGATGATCCAAGTTGGCAATAATCTCTGAGAAAGGAAGAGCTGAGGTCTGGGGGTAAAAACAAGCTTCCATGAGACTGGAAGGAGAAAATCATGCCACCGGCTTCCTAGAAGCTTTGTGAATCAACTATCAAGCTCAGAGATTTGCTGCCCAGCCTCAGAGCTGCCCCCTTAGTTCGTGCAGAAGCAGAGGAAGCTTCAGGTCACCAAATGTTCAGTCACCCCCGGGAAGAACTGTCAGCATGAAGGACCTCTTCCTTCCATCAAAGGAAAAAGTAAAAGTAAATATAATCCAAAAAAGACTGTATACACATCCCTGGAAGAGGTCCTGCCCTGGGACAAGCTTGGAATAGACAATGGGGACTTCCCTGTCAGAGGGCTGCAGTGCTATACTGCTCACAGTATACAGATGAGCCCTTCCTCTGCCTGAAACAGAGAACAAAAGCAGAGAAAAAAGGAAGAGTCCAGTGAAAATTGCAATGCAAATGCTAAAAATAAGCTCTCATTTACTCGAGAGCAGGTTGTGCTGATTTCAGGATGTACTCACCACAGTGTGGTCCCCTAGTCTGCCCTTGCTTTGTGGAGCCCCATTCTAAGACAACAAACTCTTCTGTGAAGGGCCAGAATGCTAAATATTTTAGGTTTTGCAGGCCAGGTGGTCTCTGTCGCAAACATGTCACCAACTCTGCTAATATAGTACAAGAGCAGTCATAGACAACACCTTCACAAATTAATATAGCTGTGTGCCAAAAAAAACTTTATTTATGGACACGGAAACTTTAGTTTCATGTCATTTCACATGTCACAAAAAGTTTCCCTTTTCATTTTTTTCAGGTGTTTAAAAATGTAAAAACCATTCAGGCGAGCCAGATTTGGTCTGTGGGTCACAGTTGGTCCACCCCCATCTAACGAGTCCACGCTCTGTAATCCCTTGGCAGAAAGGATTCTCCCAGGCAGCACAGAAACAGATCAGGCCCTGGAGAAGGAAGTGGGTACAGGCATATCTCAGAGGCATCGCGGGTCTGGTTCCAGAACACCCTAGTAAAGTGAATATTGCAATAAAGCCAGTCGTGATCTTTTTGCTGGTGGAGAGTCTTGCGTTCCTTTGTAAAATAACACAACAGCTGTGAAGCGCAATAAAGCAAGATGTAAAAACGGGAGGTATGGCTGTATTTCCCATTCGGCCCTCAGACTTAGGAAAAGGCTCTATTTCAAACTTGTACTACTTTAATATTGTAGACTACAAATAAAGGAACCGAAAGTCATTTTGTTGCTCTCCTGTCCCAGATGAATAGTTCAAGTTTTAGGAATCCTGAGACTTAGGACTCAAGTCCTACTCTTATTTTACAGATGAAAAAAACTGAGGCTCAAAGAAGGAATGTGACTTGGCCAAGGTGTGTAGCAAAGCTGGTACAGGAATCCAAGTTTACGCTCGCATAGCCCCTCAGCTCCGAGGACTCATTTCCAAGTCAGGATTTAGGAGTGAGGTCTAAAATTCCTTGGTACCGACGTGATTACGGTACCAAGGCTCCCAGCGTGATTACGGGCCCGCCCTTCGGACTATGCCCTGGCCTGCCTCAGGTATTCAGAGAACCGTTCCAGGAACGCCGGGACCGATCCCTGTCTCTGCTGAGGCCAAGGAGGTCCCGGCTAACCTTGAGTGAAAATTAAGACGAGGGGCTCCGCCTGCTGACTGCTGCTTCTGAAAAGCTTTCGTGCCTTTACAACCACCACCAGTAGAAGGAAGGGCACGGAGAACGCTGTTCACTCCCTAAAAAAGAACTGAGGCCGGGCAAAGGGTCGCGACAGTGCGAAGCGAGGTAGCAGCAAAGCCAGTACTGAACCCAGGTAACTGAACTCCCAGCCTGGGCTCATTCTCATCCCCGAACCACAGTGGGACGCAATGGGGTTTGGGGTCTCCGAGACCCGCCTCTCCCTTCCCGGCGCCCGCCGCCGCAACCGAGGCTCCTCGGGGGTGGAAACAAGGACTCTGAGGAATGCCCGAACCCACCTGACGCCGTCGCCCTAGAAAGAACTGACGGGGCCGCCTCCACCTTTTATAGGCTCGCTACACTTCCGGTCGCGCGCGCGCGGCCTCCTGGGAAATGAAGTCCGGAGCCGCTGGGGCGCCGGCTCCCAGCGCGCTAAGCAGCTGAGCCCAACTCCACTTCCTCCGCGGGCGTTTTTTCCCCAAGCCTGGGATTCCAGGGATCAGCAACGCCGTCGTGGGTCTACCTTGCCCCTCGTCCCCCATCCCGTGGAAGCGGATATGTTTGGGCCGATGAGAAGCTTTTCACCAGGGGCTGGCCTTGGTCAGCGGCTGGGAGGGCCCGGGGAGGAGCGAGCCCAGGAAAGCGAGACCCAAACGTAGCAGCTGGACTGGCCGTAGAGCCGGGAGAAAAAGCCGATGACAGGCTGGTAACGCGGCGCAGACGGAGCCCGCCTCCGTCGTCTACTTCCGGAATTTAAAACTGGTTTCCGGAAACCAGATGATGTCCCCATGACAACCGACGATGGGGCTTCGAGGTGAGAGTGCTTGATGAGGAGTAGGTAATGTGTCTAGAAGTCGGAATTTTTGTTGTTATTGTTTTGGTTTCGGTTTCCTGCCAAGGCAGCTCCATTTTAAAGTGGATTGGGAAGGGTCGAGGAAAACTGCCCTGGGGACAAAGGGAATGCGGCAGGTAGCAGTGGACAAACTGAAGACTTTCTTTGCCTTGCGAATCACTGCTGCCCTAAACTCGAGGAAGATGCTCGTTCTTCCCGTAGAAGTGGCTGTGGGCAGTTCTATATAACGGATCCTCACAACAGCCCTCTGGTGGCTGAGGTAGTGGTTAGGAGTTCGGGCTTGGATGTCACCTAGTTGTGAATCCTGGCTCTTCTCAACTGCGACCTGGAAGAATGACTTGAACTCTGACCCTGTGCCCTTCCCTGTAGAATAGGGATCATTCTTTCCCACCTTGCAGAATAGTTGGCGAGGATTAGAGGAAATTATCTAGGTTGACAAGTTTATCATGATCCTGGTACGTAGGTGCTATCAATATTGTTGAATGAGGAAAGGGCTGAGAAACCACGTTCACACATCCACCAAGGTGGGACTTCGACACCAGATGAGGTGGGCAAGGTTTATTAACCTCTCAGAGCCTCTGTGTAAAATGGGGATTATATGCATAATGACAGCTGCTAATCAAGATGGGTGTACAGATAAAAAGAAGTAGTAAATATAGAGTTTGTAAAATGTAAAACATTTTACAGATGTTAATTTAATCTCAATCTCTAATCCTTCAAAGCATTTCGAAATTCGTTTATAAATTTAATCCAGCTGGGAGGGGTCACAGGACGCCCCTAGAGTAACTTCAGAGTCTTATAATATATGAAAATTAGGGCCCAGCTTCTCTTACCTGGAGCCACTGTATTGCTACTGTAATCTTAAACATAGAGTTTTGCAAGAGAGCACAATTTCCTCTCAGCTTTCCCTGCCTGTACCACTTCCCACTTCTCCTGTGCCAACATTTTTGTGTTACATATCAGCCTGTCAGTTATGTAAGAGGCAGCTTTGCGCAGTAGTTAAGAGCACAGACTCTAGACCCAGACTGCCTGGATCTGAATCCTAGTTCTGCCACTTACTAGTGATGTGACCTTGGACAAATTATTTCACTTCTCTGGATTTCCAATTGTCCCATCTGTAAAGTGGGGAAAGTAATCGTGTATCTTCTACCTCATGGGGTTATTGTGAGATTTAAATAATGTTAGTGCTTAGAATAGTCCCTGGCTCATGGTAAGTGATCAATATAACTGCAATTAGTATTAGAATTATTATATGACCAGATGGTCATTCTTTATAGCACCCTCAGATTCCTTTAGACTCAAAAGTAGAGTTCTGTGTTTAGAAAATTTAGGTGTGGAGAAAGGTTTGAGGCTAAGTGTCCCGAGGAGTGACTAGTTGGGGTTTTTTGTTGTTTATGTCGTTCACTGATATATCCCAAGCACCTAGAACAGTGCCTGGCACATAATAGGTCCTCAGTAAATATTTATTATATTAATGAATTTCTAACCACTTTTTTTTTTTTTTTCTCCTCAACAGACCCTGGTCTTAGAGGAAGGGAAACAGCTCTGATTCTGCGAGACTAGACACTTCTCCCTCAGTGCTGGGGAGCTGTTTTCTGGGGAACTGTGGAATGTGCCCTTGGGCTCCCCAGAGAGCAGAAGGAAGATGCTTCAGACCAGTAACTATAGCCTGGTGCTCTCCCTGCAGTTCCTGCTGCTGTCCTATGACCTCTTTGTCAATTCCTTTTCGGAGCTACTCCGAATGGCTCCTGTCATTCAGCTGGTGCTCTTCATGTGAGTTTAGTGGGTGGGACTGGACAGCTAAACCAAGCAGTTCTAAGGCCCTGACAATTGTGATTTAGCATTTTAAAGTTATTAATAGAGACTTATCAGGGAGAAAAAATTTCATGTTGTCCTGGGTACTCGCTGGTACATAGTCATGACCCAGGTCCTATTTTTGCATACTTCAGACAAGAGTTTGGGATACAGGGAGCAGTTCACATAGAAGATGGAGGTCAGACTCCTGACCCAATCATTTTAGAAATATTGTCTTACATTGCCATGAAAGAGGATTACAAAGTGACAGGTTAAAAGGCTAATCACATTAATCATATATACGAATCCCATAAGATGAAAGCTGTTGGCATTTTTCCTTCATAATGATGTATGGACTTCGTGAGGCACATTCCAAACAGAAAGCCACAGCCTTAGACATGGTTTTCCTTTAACAAGTATTCATTGGCCTGCCAGACAGTTCCGGCTGCAGTGGTGAATCTGGAGAGTTCCTGTTCTCATGGGGTTTCCATCCTAGTGGAGGGATAATGAGCACATTTAAAAAAATAATAATAATAATTTCAAATAGTAAAATGTCATAAAATGGATATAAAGTAGCTGGGGTGGGGAGGGGAGAGCTACTTTAGGTAGTAGGGCTAAAGAAAAGTCTTTCTGAAAAGGAGACAGTTGAACTGAGACTTGGATGGCACTAAAGTACCAGCCATGCAAAAATCAGGGAAAGTGCATTGCTATCTTGCAAGATGAAAATGTCCGATAGGACCAGGTTATGCTGCAGACAGGGCTGGAATTTTCTGGACATAAGGAGGAAATTAGCTTCTCTTCACAAGTGTCTAGGAGGTTTGTTGAGTTGTCTGTGGACTGCAACTCAACTGATGGGGCCAGTGTATAGTTTTCACTTCATGTCATTTGGGGCCCCAAAGCCCATGCTACCTCTGTGGGGGTTTCAGAGGGCTAAATCACAGGGAAGGACAGACCTCATAGTGTCCCTTAGGACTTGAGGCCAGCTCTTGGGTTCTAACACAGGCCTCCATTTGGCTCTACTGTGTTTTCTGTGTCTACAGCATCCAGGATATTGCTGTCCTCTTCAACATCATCATCATTTTCCTCATGTTCTTCAACACCTTCGTCTTCCAGGCTGGTCTGGTCAACCTCCTATTCCACAAGTTCAAAGGGACCATCATCCTGACAGCTATGTACTTCGCCCTCAGCATCTCCCTTCATGTCTGGGTCATGGTAAGAGCGGAGCTCTGAATTTCTGAATCCTTAAAGGGTAAGGAATATCTTCTCTGGGAATCCAGCATCATTCTTTTACATTTCATGGAATCCTTGAGAAGAAAAAAAAGGTGAAATGGATGTCGTCTGCCCTGAAGCTAGGTACATGAGGGGCTCACGAGGTGCTTTGCCCAACCTTATGTGTTGAAGAACAGCCTTATCCAAGAGTGGAGGGACATTTCTGGACATTCAGTTCACCTCTGCCACAAACAGGCCTGCCAGGGCTAAAACAGGAAGTTGAATCGGTTTCATAATTAGCTGTTTGGGAAGGTGGGTGTTGATACAGGGTATTCTTAGGCATCAGTGTCCCATGGGAAATAACCAAGCACAAGTGCTGCTTGCCCTTTAGTGCTTCATGCCCTCTGCTGCGACCCATCATGTACACTCGGAGAACCAAGTTCAAGATGCCTCCGTTTGGTTCTGAGGTAAGCCTCAGAGCAGATCCAGTTTTCATGGTTTCAGATTCCTTTTGTTTCACAAATTCTTTCATCTCTGGGCATCTCGTGTGTTTCTCAAGTACTCGTTTTGATAGAACACGTTGAAACCTCGGTTCTCTAGTCATTTCTGTACTAAAGTCACCTTTTCAAACTGAACCTTCTATTGGGTTACCCTTGTGATTCCCTAGAGAGAAGCAGAGCTCCCAGGAAAGCAGCAGAGCAGTGCTGAAGTCTGTAGGTGCTTCCTAAAGAGGATTGTCTCCGCTCTGGTTCCGGGAGCCAAAATAGGTCCTGGCTTTTTACCACAGAGCTCTTAATCTGATTAAACCCTGAGCCTTTATCTGTCAGGAGCTGAGCCTGAGATTTTCAAGGCAAGACAGTGACCACACTGAATTGAGATTATGTGTATCATTTCTCCTTGGCCAAGGCTATGGAGTGAAATGGAATAAATAGCTTAGTTCAAACTTCATCCCCCAAGGTTAAAAGGATATTCCCTTTGCAGCAAAAAAGTGATCTCGAGGCACCTTTAAGAAACACAACTTGAGGCTATGGAAAGAAAGACGGTGAGATTTGCCTGATTTTGAACCAAGTGGCATCTATGCAGCTAACCAAGTTGGATATGTCGGAGCCTTATCTGGCCATTAACCTTTCCCATCTATTCATGTCTCCTTCAGAACTTACGCTGGAAAGACTCTAACCGCTTTGTTTGGACGGATGGACTTCAAACGCTATTTGTATTCCAGAGGCTAGGTAAGGACCAGACCAACATCAGGTCTCACTTTGGTCCCTCCTATGGCTCTGGCAGTGAGAGCCTTGATCCTGGCTTGCCTGCCCATCACAGCTGGCATGGGATGGGCGGAATAGCCACATCAAGAACAGGAGAGATTACTGTGTTCTGCTCTTGTCAGGAGTCACTGGGAAATCATGAGGCAGGGTCCCTCCGCCTCCTTAGGGTATGTTCTTACCTGAACTGAATACTAGGGAGCATCCCTGAGGCTTCTTTTCTGCTTGTTATCTACAGCGGCAGTGTTATACTGTTACTTCTACAAACGGACAGCTGTGAGACTGGGCGATCCTCGCTTCTACCAGGACTCTTTGTGGCTGCGCAAGGAGTTCATGCAAGTCCGAAGGTGACCACTTCTTGTCACACTGATGGATGCCTTTCCTTCCTGATAAAAGCTACATTTGCGGCTCTGCAGAGGGGGTGATGGGCCCTCTGCACAGGAAGCAACTTGACTTTCCTTGGACAGGCTCAGGCCAGTTTCATTCAGCAGTCAAAAAGGAAGATGTTCCCTCTTGCAAATTAAAGTGTTGCCCAGTACAGACTCCAGGACATAAATAATTCCTTCTTGGCCTCCTGCTTTGGTTCTATCCCCTTTCCTTTCTGTCCCATCTCCCTCACAGGAGCTCTGTGGCTTTATTCTTAGGGAGCTCACACTTAGCCTGTACAGATGTTCCCAGCACCCACTTGCTTTGCAACACATAGGTGACTGAATGATACACAGGGACATTTCTGTACTCTTGACTGATCACACCTTGGACATTTAGATTTTATACTCGAAGCACTTTTTTTCATTTTATAAGTAGGAAATAAATTGAAGTCTTTTTCCATAAATGGCGGAGTCTATCTGTCTAGCTAGCTCTCTTCATAGTTAAGAGGCATGCCATGGCCTAGCCTTAGCATCTCCTTGACATAGTAGGCAGATTGGGCCACAGAGCAAATACAGATATTTATTGGGTCCCATTATGAGTACAAGATATTTTTGCAGAAATTCAAGATGTAATCTGACGCCCCTGCCTGACCCCTGGAGTTCCAGACATCTGTGCTTTATACAGACTCCATCTCCCTGTCAGAGCCCTGAACTCCCCTGTTTTGGCAAAAGAAATAATTTAAATTCATGTGCCCATATTATCAGTTTTCTATTGCCAGAATACACTTGCCAGACTTCAGTAGCATTTAACAATAAACAGTTACGTGACCCTTAAGCCTTGGGGTTCCGGTGGTCTGGCTGGGTTCAGGTGATTTCTGCTGGGCTTGCTCATGTGTCCATAGTCAGCTGTGGGTCAGCCAGGCAGCTGTGATGATCTTGGGATCCTTGGTTCTTGCCTAACCTAGGCTGACTTCAGCTGGAATGACTAGGCAGCTCAGCTCTGGTTCACATGACCCATCCATGACTAACTAGCCTGTATCTGTTCACATGAGTGGCCAAGGAGCCGGAGAACAAGCCCCAGTGCTTCATCCCATTTCAAGCCTCTACCTGTCTCTTTGACTGCCATTGGTCGAAGCAGGTCACGTGACTGTACCCAGAGTCAGGTTAGAAAGCACTACAAAGTTGGAAAAAGGCATGGATACAGGGAAGGGCTGTTAATTGTCAGTCTACCTCACCAGAAAGTTGTTCTATGAAACTTGTTGTTCAGAGACACTTTAGCCAAACTTTTTCCCTGAAGGGCCAGATAGTAAATATTTCAGATTTTGAGGGCCATATGGCTTCTGTTGCAACTACTCAACTCAACATTATAGCGTGAAAGCTGCCATAGGTGATATGTGAACAAATGAACATGGCCGTGTTCCGATAAAACTATTTTAGGACACATTTAAATTTCATTTTTTATGTCATAAAATAATTGTCCTTTGATCTTTTTCAACAATGTAGAAATGGAAATTTATTCTTAGTAACCGATACAAAGCTAAACTAATTCCAGTTAAGGTACACAAACAGTCTAGATTTGCCCCAGGCCATGGTATGTTGACCCCCCGCCCCCACCACCACCATTTAGAAGCCTAGAATAGAGTTCCGGGGAAAGAGACTATCAGCTGTGCTGTCAGATTTTAACAGATGTTTAAAAAGAAAAGGTACAATGTTCAAATAAAATGTCGAAGGCCCCTATCACTAGAAAAGGTGATCTAAAAAGTCCTAACAAAGCCATCACCTATACCTACTATGCCTTCATCTGTAAAAAGATGGCAATGGCCCAATTTTGAATCTTTTCATAAAAGCTCTTACAGGAGTTATTATAATCCCCTTTGCTCATTACAATCGCGGAAAGATGAGCGATTTTCTGTGTACCCCAGTGAATCAGGGCTACAATGTTCTCTGCTGTATTTGCAGCTAGTGAGCACAACCAAATGCCTGTTTTTCTCACAATATTTATTGCACTTTGTAGCCCTGTGAGTTTGAGATGTGTATGTGTGTGTATATATATGTTTATTTTCCTTAATAGTTAATACATTCATGTTGTACAAAATTCAAGTTATAAAAAGTTTATGCAGTTAATCTCTCACTGCTGTATCTCAGCCAGAGTTCCTTCTCCCTCCCCTCAACAGTCTGCATTTACTTACATACTTCTTATAGGTAACAATGTAATACTTCAGAAACATTTTTACCAAAAAAATCGCTATAATCCTACCCCACTCCTTGAATAGTCAGGTAAGGTTCCATATCCACAGATGCGACCAACTGAAGATCAAAAGTACTGGGGTGGGGCGGGGAGGGGGAAATATAGGTCACATTGTTACTGACATGTACTATGTAGTTAGGCCTAAAATGGTTGTCTGTATCGAAGGTGTACAGGCTTTTGTCATTATTCCCTAAACAATACAGTATAACAACTATTTACATAACATTTACATTGTATTAGGTATTATAAATAATCTAGAGATGATTTAAAGTGTATGGGAAAACGAGCATAAATTACATGAATTATGCCATTTTACATAATCCCCAGCAGATACCTAGGGACAACTGTATGTATATATATTTTATACACAGTTGTGATTATAGGGACTATGCCATAAAATAGTTGGCTTTTTTTTTTTTCACTTAGCAGTAGGAATGTTTTTAAGATATGATATAAATTGATTCCTTGGGGACATCTGCTTCCAAAGTTCAGAGGAAGGAAATAAACACTTTAAAAGTGCTTAGAGATCTTTAGTAGGATGGAGTTGCTTCTGGCTGATCAAATGCTCCTGTCAGGAACTAGAAGAACCAGATGAAATGTTAAGTACCACCTTTTTACTTCAGTGAAGTGCTCAAGTAAAGCAGACTGGAGGGCCTAAAATTCTAAAGGGAGAATCTTAGCAAAGTGAACTGACAATTTGTAGCAGTTTTCCCCTGGAGGCATTTGCTGAATGGGCTTGAGCAAGAGGCTAAGAATCCAAGAATTGCCCAGAGAGTTGCAGGCCAGGAACAGAGAAAACAGCTGAGCTCGTGGGTGTCATTCCACTGGAGGAACAAAGTTGAGAACCAGAAGAGCCCTAAACACACTCATTTTCTCAAAGCTGTGGAAAGCAGAATGGAACTATTTGGCAGGCTTAGGGTGCTGATGATTAGAATTCAGGACCTGCCAGGTGCGGGAACCGGTGATCACAAAGGACTTCAGTTGAAAGCTCAGGAGGGCTCCTTATAAGGAACAAGATGAAACAGGTTGACTGAGGCTTATCAAAATCACAGTGCAGCCTCAAACCCTGTCAGTGATCAGTCCCCATTCTGTCTGCCTGGCAGAGGAAGGAGTGGAAGAAAAACATCTAGAAACACTATCATTTTTTATACACAATTTCTGGATCTAATAAAAATCACTAGCAAGTCAAGAGAGAAGACCATATTATTTAAAGCCAGAATAAAAGTAGAAAATAGAAACGAGTGATCAAAATATTGAAGAAAACAGACAAGTTTAAAACTATGATTGACATGCTCGAGAAATGGAGGAAAATATGCAGGAATTGGATAAAATATTTAAAATGAACGTAGGGATTTCTAATAATGGCTGAGTAAGGTCCTCCACAAATAACAACTGTAAAATCTGGACATAATACAAAAAACAGCTACTTGACGACAACTGGAGAATGAAGGGAAGCAAAATTTTGATGGGAAGTCCACACTCACAAGAGGAGAATTCTGCAGAGAAAGTTCCCTATTTTTGCAGCTTGAAACTTGGTAGCAGGCAAAATGGTATGTAGAACATGCTGGGGGAAAACCATAGTACCAGAATACTGAGCCAGGGCAACTCATGCCACTGGAGAGAAAGATGGGAATCTCAGAAGAAAAAGAGCCAGAGAGAGTGGAATCCCCAAATTCTGACTGCCTACATGTCTGCCCAAGCTCTGACTACACATGCAATTCAGACTCAAGGTAGTTGAACTAAAGACAAGATCTAAACAGACTGGAGCTGCCACCCAGTAAGTGTGGTTTGTGGTGTGTAGCCAACCAAGCTAATCGCCTGATAAAAAGAACCATCAGTCTTTGGAGACAGTAGAAACCAGAGTCTCCACAATTTAACATTGAAAACTGACACCAATACTGAGATGATCCAGATATTGGAATTAACAGGCAGGATATTAAAGCAGCAATAAAAATATGTTCTCAGTGAATAAAAAGATAGGCAACCTCAAAATAGAAACATGATTTTTGAAAAACAGAAATCTCAGAAATAAAAATTACAATATCTGAAAAATGTTAAATGGACGGATTTAACAGCAAAGGAGAACAGAATGAGTCAATGAACTAGAAGATAGACCATCAGAAATTACCTAAGCTGAAAACCAGAGGGAAAATAATATTTTTAAAAAGTCTCATGACTAGTTAAATAATATCAGCCCAACATACATGTAATTGGAGTCCTAGAAGACAAAGAGAAGGAAAAGAGCAGAAAAAAATATTTAAAGAAATAATAGCCAAAAATTTCCCAAATTTGATGAAAGATAGAAATTTACAGATTTAAGATGCTCCACAAACCCGCCTTGAAAAACAAAGAAAAGCCACACCTAAGCACATCATAGTCAAGTTACTGAAAGCTAAAGATGAAGAGCAAATCCTGAAAGCAGCAAGAGAAAAACACCACCACATACAGAGGGACAATTAACAGCTGACCTCTCACTAGAAATCAGAGGCCAGAAGAGAGTGTAACCACATTTCCAAAATGCTGAAAGAAAAAAGTCAACTCACAATTCTATATTGACCAAAAATATACTTCAAGAATAGTTGAAACAGACATTTAAAAAATAAAGAAGAGAATTCATTGCCAAGAGTCTTGCACTATAAAAGATGCTAAAGGAGTTCTCTAAAAAAAAAAAAAGAAAGAAAGAAAAAAGAAAAAAAGAAAATTCTCTGGCTTGAAGGGAGATGACAACAGATGGAAACATCCTCAGCAAGGAACGGAGCACATCAGAAATAGTATCTAGGTAAATATGCTTTTTTTTCCTATTCCTTTATAATGCATATGAATGTGGAATGCATTTTTTCAAATACACAGAATATTGACCAATATATACCATATGCTGAGTCATAAAACAATTCTCAATAAATTTAATAATAAATTTAAATCAATGTAAAAGGATAGAGTATGCTCTTTGACTATGGAATTGAGAAACAATAAGATAGCTAGATGTTTCAGTCTAGGTCTCAACCAGGAGACAGAAACCATACAGTAATTTAAACATGGCAAGCTTAATATAAAGAGTCATTAAATTATTATGTGAGAGGAAGTAAAAAATATTGAAGAGAACTCTAAAAGGGTGCTGAAGGAGAGTATCTGAGGAAGGCAAACCTGACAGGGTCCCCCAAGTTCACTGGTTTACCCAGGCCAGAGAGGTGCCAGACAAGAAACAGCCCTCCAGGATGCAAGCAAACTATGGCTGGTGGGCAGGTACACTGGGAGCGTACAGACACTACCTGCAGGCACTGGGCCCAGAGCGCACACTGTCCACATTGAGAAGATCCCAGTAAACCACCCAGCAGGGCACAGGTGAGCCAAGACTTGTTGGAGTGCTCTGCGTGCACAAAGCCTGGAATACATGATGTCCACACACGGCCTGAAGGCCACGGGAACCAAGCCTCTGGGAAGAAGAGCCAATGTTGATGAGCAGATGCATGGAGGGAGCTGGGGCACTGCTGTGGTGGGTACGTGGTGTCCATGCCTGGAGAGCTTTGGCAAATACTGTCCAGGGCATAGGTGAACAAGGCTGAGGGGGCAGGTGCACAGAGGGAGGGAGTTGTCAACGGTGCAAGGGCTGGAGTATGCAGTATCCTTGACAGGAGGGCCACAGCTAAGTGGTCACCAGGCCTGGACCAGGTCTGCGAGGTTGCTAGGGAAGTGCTGGCTCTTGGCGTGTGGCTGGAGTAGAGCACGCCTGATGTCCTCGATGTCCCCAAGCATTTGCACTGCTGAGACATCGTGGTGCAGGAACAAGGAAAAGCAAACCAGAGCTCACTGGGGCGGGGAAAATGAATCCTTTCCTTCAATGTCCCTCCAGCGCCCTCTACTGACAAAGCTTGCCATTGTGCTCACTGTAAGGTTGAAGAAATTGCAGAGTCCAGTCCATTATCGCTGAACCGGTACTGAAGGGTGAATGTGGAGCAAAGAGGCAAAAAATAGATAACAGAGTCTATCTTTTTGGCTACTCAGCTTCCATATGCACCGTTCCACACATACTTGATCTTCCCTAGTAGTTATATTCTTACTAACAAGATATATCTATCCTTCTAAAAGTGACGTTTTCGCCCTTCTCCAAAATGAGAGACACATAAATTACTCAGGGAATTGCTTCTGCTCTTTGATGCCTAGAAATACAATTACCGCCCCACCTCCAACCCAACTAGCGCTGTCCTTAAAAGTTAGTCGCTACTCAAATTACCTGGTTTGAGCGTGCCGTCTGTTCCTGTCCTACTCTAACAATGGGCTAACAGTCAAGACGGCCCGATTCCACGCAAAACCCTTTTTTCCTACTCTGCTGCAGGCAGTCACACACGTTTACTGCTCCAAATCGTATTTAGGCTTCACACACGTTTACTGCTCCAAATCGTATTTAGGCTTCAAAACCCAGTTTACAGACCATCTCTTGGGAACGTCCCTCAATTCCCGCCGGGAGTACTTTGTCCTCTCAACTCCTCCAGCATGCTGTGGGTCACACGTTGATCACGTTTCATCTTCACGTTTTCTGATTTGGGGCCTTCTAAATACCTAATAAATCGGACGCACAAAACCCCCTAACCCCTCTAAAAGGCTGCCTGGTAGACATATGACCCCTAAACCTCACCCCGCATTTGCAGAGCTCCGTCGCGCACACCGTTTCTCATTTTCAGACCGTTGTCTGAAAAGAAATCGTGGGGCTAGGGCCTATTTGCCAATCCTGTGGTCACACTGCCACGACTGGCCACTTCAGCCGACGCACTGTAACCTGGGGGCGGGGGGGGGACCACGAGAAACTCCACTGCCTCGGGGTCCCGCGGGCGACGGCTGCGTGGGCGGCGGAGCCTCAGAAAACCAAAGTCGCAGCGAAGGCCTTTTGCCGCCCGCGGCCCTCCTTGCGCACGCGTGGACCGCACCGAGGCGGCTCCGGCCCACTAACCATAGAGTGCCGCGGGCGGGCTGAGCGGCCGGAAGCCGGGGCCACTCCGTCCCCCGCTTCCGGCAGCGCCTCGCTGCTCGGGGAGCGGCTGCCGCCGCGTACGCAGTTTCCATGGGGACTGAAGATGGCGCCGCGAGGTGAGGTTCTGGAGGTGTGTGAGTCGCTGGTCTTGATCCCTTCAGTCCTCTTTCTCCCTTCTACCCGGCGGCTCAACCTAAACCCTCCATTTTCGGGTGTTAGGGACAGCGCTCCTCACTTATCCAAAGCAGGGTTTCGTAGCCCCACTCACCCCGAGTGCCTTACTGTCTCGAGGTGAGGATCTCAAATACCCCCAGATCCTTGGCTCGGTCTATTCTAGGCCGGCTCAAAGACGAATTTGCTGTGTGACCTCGAAGAAGCCAGTGCTGGTCTCTGCGCCCCAATTTTCCCTCCCATATAATTATGGGATTAGATCATAGAGGAGCCTTGACTTTCACCTCCGAAGCCAAAAGAATCGAGTTTGACAGGGATTCCAGGGGAAGAAAGGGATTGAAGGAAGCCCTCTCCACATCCTATACTCTCACACACCCCTCATTATCAGCAACCAAGTGGCCCTTGCCATTGGCTGTGACCTCTCGTTTTCTCCAAGTTAGACACAACTACTCAACAGATTGAGCTGCCCTCCGACCCATCCTTGTTCTCTGTGCTCATCTTTTCAGGTAAACGGTTGTCCTCCACCCCCCTAGAAATCCTGTTCTTTTTGAACGGGTGGTATTATGCTACCTATTTCCTGCTGGAACTCTTCATATTTCTATATAAAGGTAAGGCCTGGGCCTTGACTACCCTTGGCCCCAAATCCCTTCCCAACTTCAGCCCAGAGGCAGCTCCCACTGAAAACTTTCTTATTTTTCATTCTTTTCTGTGCCCCTCTTCACTGCAAGGTAGCTGTCTCTTCATTGGATGGCTTCTTTGAGAATGATTCAGCAAGAATTTCTTGAGTTTGGGAAATGTGGGCTTCTCTATTCTGACTCTCCCCTGTCACCTCTTTTTGTGAATTCTAAGCCCATTGGTGACCCTCAGAACTGTTCAGCAGTCTGTGTACCCACGTACATCTGATCATTTTGGAGAGTGGAATATCCAAGACCTTTGGAGTTAGTAAAACCCCATAATAATGAGCCCGCCTCTAACAGACATAGTGGCACTGTGAGTTCACATATCCTGCAGCAGGTTAACTGATCCTACTCGCATCCTACTCACCAGCTCATGGAAAGCTGATAAGACTCTTGTCCTCTTTATTCCCAAGTGTGTGGGAGTTCTTGTGGGTGCTGTTATATGTTGTTTGCAAACTCTTGCTTTTGTATCGGCAGGTCTCCTGCTACCGTATCCAACAGCTAATCTAGTACTGGATGTGGTGATGCTCCTCCTTTATCTTGGAATCGAAGTAATTCGACTCTTTTTTGGTGAGTGTTGTCCAGAAAATATTTCCATTCCTTATGAGACAAGCTGGTATTTGTAACTTGATTAACAAGAAGTACATGACCTAGGCTCACAATAAGAGATTGGATCTGGTGACATATCCCATTACTCTTTCTGAAGTTTCAAACTGCTTTATAGTTTGCATCAAAATTTACCTGTCTGTTGCTCTGAAGTGCTAATGGTTGGCAGTAGCGTGAGATATTAGATAATTCCTTCCCAGTTGCCTAACTACTACAAATGCATGGT